ATAGAGTTTATAGGAATTCCCTGTTGGTGCAAGAAATGAAAACATCTACATTAAGAATACCAGAGAGTCTTAAAGACAAGTATAAAAAATATTTTTAAATAAGGGAAGATATATAGCTATGTATATTTATAAAGATTTTTGAGTCTTTGATGACATCATTCTAATCCAGACCTGATTATAAGAAAAGAACCTTCAAGGAAAAACAGAAGGAGGTTGGCGGTATTATAATCAGTACACAATTACTATTTCATTAGATATGAAATGCTCTTCAGAGAGGAAAGCGACCAAGGAAAGATTGTAGGCTTCAGGAGGAATGTTATATGCCCCTGGGGTTTTTGTATGGGATCTTATGAAGTATGGAAAACATACAGTGGAATATTTGAGAATCAACTGGAGGGATTGAAACTTAAAGCTCTCTTGGTTAAGTCCAAGGAAGGAAAAGGGCAGGAAAGGCCAATGTGATTAAGGAAGGATATAAAGATTAGTATGAGGAGACTAAGAGGGAGGCTTAAAATTATATAAACAGTGATTCAGAGATATAAACTATTTATAAAATACAAGTAGTAAGAAGTTCAGAGAATAATTACAAAAGAGGAAGCATTATGACCAGGCATTAGTGACAGCATTCCTCACCACTGTGGTCCGATCACTGTGAGAGCAGAGGATGCGAGGATATTAACATCGCAAGGAACCTTACAGAACAAGTAGTCCCTCTTTCTACAGGTCCAGGAGCACAGTAAGAAAGGCACCCTCGGTCTGCTCTCTCTGTATGCTCTGGTCTCAGCTCCCACTGCTGGAGGAAGGAGCAAAGAAGAACAGGAGTGGAGGGAGGATTAGAGCCATGGAGGTCAGAAGGATCAGACCAGGAGGGATGGACTGGCTTCTAACATAGCAGACAGCACAGATGCAGGGTCGAGCAGGGGATCTAATTTCCTGCTTTGGGAGGGGAAGTATGAGAAGGTGGTGAGAACAGCTCTGAGAGAAAAGGGGACAGTTTGAGGACAAAAGGCCAGCCTGGTGAACACATTGAGGGCTTTTCACCCCCAAATATACAGAGACAGGGCTGAAGGAAGCTCTAACTAGTATTTATACAAGTCCTCTGATGACAGATCAGATTCCTGAGGTCTGGAAAGTGTTACATATCATTATTCTAAACAGGGCTGTGCGATAGAGCAAGCAATTATAGGCCATTTAACTTAACATCATTTACAGAAAAATATTAGGAAAAGTTTGCGGGGGGTGAAGAGGACAACTCAACAAGCATATGGTAATTTGATTAGAAACAGGCCACATGTTTTTACTGAAGGGAAACAGTAAAAGGTGTTGTTTTAACTAGCTTGTTGGGCTTCTTAGACGTTATTGCTGTCTTGTTCAAGCTTTTAACCCATGATTTCTTCTAATATCTATAAAGATTAGGAATAAATATATCTAAGTAAATAAAACAAAAACTAATCACAACTAAGGTTATTAGAAATACAATGAGAAGAAAAATGAATGTTAAAGACTGATAGTATAGAAAGAAAAAAAACTTAGTATCAGCTAGTAGAGTTTAAACCAAAATATTTTTCATGAAAAATACTTGATTTTGATCTGTGAATGTGTCTCTATACCATTTTCTAAAATACTCTGCATTAAAAAAAAGGTTGCTATGTTTGTTCTTTGTAAGTGGCTTGGCCATTTTATGTAAACATTTGACACATAATGATGAGTACTTCATTAATCCTTCCTTTATGAATTTTCCAAGTTAAAAATCCTCAAGTGAAAGGACATCTCTGTGGTTATTTTACATTAAGGTCAATATCAATTTTTTTCCTATTTACATCTTATTTCCATATCACTGAATAGTTACTGAACCTTCAGAAAGATGATCCAAAAGAAAACCAAGATAAAACAAACATGAAAAATTAAATTACACATTAACATTTACTAGAGGCCCCAATTATCCCTTGTTATCTCCTTTTGATCAGTTACTCTGCACAATTCTACTTCTCCAAAGGTACTAAATTCCTGCAACTGGTATCACCTCTATATTTACAATTTCTACAAGGGTGAAGACTGTGTCTTTCTGGTTCATCATTGTATTCTCTGAGTATAGCACGGTGTTTGATAAACATTTAGTGAATTATCAACCCCATTTTTTTTTTAAATGAGGAAACAGAGGCACTGAGAAGTTAAGTAACTTGCCAAGGGTCACACGGCTAGTAACAGAAAGCTTGAGAACTCAGGCAGTCTGGCCCAAGCCCCCACATTAAAGCATAATTCTACTTCCTCTCCAGGAATGAATGTACTATGCAATAAATCTGTGCATCACTATATGTATGTACGGAAAACTACACCCAAGGCAGGAGTCTCCACTGGCACACAGCTCAAGTACTATTTTCCTTTAGTCTTGCTTTAAAATACTGATACTCTGAGACCTGATGTATCTTCATCACTTTTATTTTCCCAAGGTTTCTTTTTGGTTATTTTTTTTCCCCAATCAGTCATCCTGGAACCATATGACAGAGCATGTACCTTGTTAGAGTCCAAGGTCTTTTTAAAAGGTCCCTGTTCTCAAAGATCTAGTGTTTGGCTTCACGTGTTCCTAGGTGCTGTAGATTCTCTGGGCCAGAAAAACAAAGCAGATCAAGGGAACGTACTTCTATGGAATCCCAGGAAGAATGAGAAGAAGCCTCTGGCACGGGCAGGTCGGATTGACGCAGAAAAGGGAAGGACGCAGTTAGAGGTGGGAGGAGTCCACATCTACCCTACACTGAAGGCTTACAAACCTTAGAGGAGCTCGTGCCCTGCGGGATGCATGCAAAATAACTCTTCAGGTCCTGCTGGCTGGTAGGACCCCACACCAATGTAAAAAGCTCACTTATAATGTAGTCTCCAGTTCTGGTCACCTTTCAACTGGAGGAATATTCTTACCCCTAAGGCAACTCAACATAGGACTGTCAAGTTGCTCCAAGTTTTAGGAAAACGTCTTGTTCTGAGGACTGAGGTTAAAAGTTTAGTCTCACTATACAAGAAAATCTGGCCCAGTGGAATATTTAAGTTGAAGTAGAGTGAATAAAATTAACGCAGACTAGAGGCCTAGAAAGATGAAATACAGTTCAAGATCCAAAATCAGACAGTAAAGGGAATCTCAGGGGAGAGACTGATTGGTGGAAAAATAAAGCAAGCATATGAAATTAGACACCGCTCTTATATTCAAACAATGGTAGTGTCAACAGTGTGGCAGGACAGGTATGAAGATAGCATTTGAATGAACAAAAGAAACGGGAGGGATGCAGTATCGGTTGCGGTAGGAAAGGGGGTTGATATGGATTCAAGAACAGTCTTGTTAGTCTGAGGGGTCCTTTTCCTGTTCAGTGAATTCTTTTGTCCTGTGTCCTTATCAATCCCACACCTTGCCTAAGAAAGAATGACAGACAAGCCATTCTTAATGACTTCCTAGCTTTTGAAACTATTTTGGAGTTGGAGAGGGAAAGAGACACATTTAAGTTGTTGGAAGAAATGTGGTTTCTGTTGGCTTAGTAAATTTTCCACTCCAAGATGACCACTTTTGCTTGGGAGCACAGAAATGCATTTGCCCATATACGTGATTTGTGCAATGTTCCAGAAAAATGAAACCCCTGTGGCACCTCATTAGGGCACGGAAACAAGTGGCAGCACGGCCCAGGGCTCCCGCTTGGCCTGTGCTGTGTCAGCAGCAGAGTGGCTGGCATCTTCCTCCCCCAGGGCCAGTGCACATCCTCTCCTGGGCACACCCACTCCCCATTAGCCCTGGAACAATTGTTGGCTGTGTCAGAGTCCCGGCCACGCCCTGGGCCAGGACAATACACAGCCCCACAGCCCTACCTCTCCCAAGCACTAGTTACTTCCTTTCCTTTTTTATTTCCTCCTGTCAGAGTGCACTAAATACAGTTTTCGCTTCTGTTAGAAACCAGACATTTTAAAGGGTGCTTGGTTAATGATGACCTATTCGCTCTCCACTGGGGGTTTCCTACTTTCTGAGAGATGGTACAAGAGATAGGAATTTCGTTCAGAACACAGGGAAAACAGGTTCAAACAGATTCTGTTTTCACAGTTACAATCATGCTCAAATATTTCGCTTTAAAGATGATGCTTTCTATTATTTTTAGGTATGTTTAATCTGTTGAGTTTTGTCACCATGGTGAGGGTGGACTACATTAAAGTAATAACACCAAGGAAGCGACTATGTTCTAACAATCTTATAGGTCATTTTTAAAAACAGGAACTTCTATATTTAGAAATTCATCCACCTATCTACTAATCATTCAGTATTTATTTCTACATTGTTATAGTCTAAGATATTTAAAAGGTCCCTATTCTCAGTTTGGTAATGAGAGAACGACACAGATTGACTGTAATAAATTGTATGGGTATTATAATAGAATCATGAAGAGCTTACAATACGGATATGAGGAAGGACTAGAAATCTTATTGGTAGTGGCACATTGGCCAACGAAGTCTTGATGGACCAGGTAGCTGCTGAGCTAAGTCTTGAAAACTAGGGGAGCCTTTATGGCTTCAGTGTGTGTGAGTGTGCACTCATGTATGGGGGTGTGCATGTGTGCACCTATGTGCACGCACAGGCAAAGCTGGAGAGGTGGGCAGGCCTCCCAGATCCTAGAAATCTTGACCCTAGACCCTCCCAACACCTAGGAAGGTGTATTAAGTCAGACGTCCTGTAGGTATAAGGGACTAGGCAATAGAACAAGAGCTCAGATCTGCCTCTGAGTCCCCATTTCTGAAATCACCTATTTCCTTGGGTGCATTTTACTATTCTTTTCCTTTATAAAGCAATGAATTTCAATGTGAGAATAATCTCTCGAATCTAATTCACTGTGTTCTGGTTTAGGAAATGCCAGCTGAAGGATGCCAGAGTGCTGAACAGAGAAGTTTGAAGGTTGCAGCAGGCTTTCTGTGATAGCATTTTCCCAGCCACCGCCTGATGGTGGCCACACACTGGGCTGTGAGGGAGTCCTTACCACTTCAGTTGGTCGGTAGTATTTGAGATCCACAGTCACGTGAATTTTGCCGGTCTCTTTACATCTGCCCACTTCATTTTCATTCTTTCCTTCCCACCTATAAAGAAGATAAACATCTAATCAGCTCCTAATTGTTTGGGAGCATTTGGCCACACTGTAGCAGCTCAGGATGGCTCCACCTTCTCCCTGCAGGAGCCCATAAGCTCATTAACTCTGGCAACACAGGGTGATGCTTAACTTTGTTATTATTGCAGCAGTGATTTGCAAAGTCTTTCTAGATATGTTTGAAAGGGTAAAGGGTAAGGCTCACCGCCCTCATCCTTTTAAAAAATAATGATGAATTCAAAAGTGAGAAATTAGAAATGAATAGATTAGCCAGTAAAAGGAATTGGGCAATTTTCAGAAATTTCAAAGATTTTTCATTTCCTTAGACTATTCTTGACTAAGTCAATTATTTCAAAATGTCTTTTGTTTTTCCCCTTCTTTATTTTTTTCTTCCCTTTGTAGTTTTAGAGATAGTTAGTGTTAAGTCAATACATCCCATTTGGGAATAAGCTTCATATCCTAATTAACCATTCAATTCATCCCTAGATTATATACATGTTCTCCCTGTTCTCCCTAGTCAGTGATGGGGCCTCATTAATAAATTTCAGATGATAAAAAAAGTGCATAACTAATTGCTCATATCAGCGTCTCTCTACCATAACCTCCTGTGACTTAGCTAGGATGTTACTTGGACTCAAGTTTCATCCACAGGTGACATCAGTAATGGCCCTCCAGTTTACACGGTGCAGGATACAACCATATGCCTTAAGACCAGCTTCTCTCACTAAAATTCTAATTATCCATTTTATCTTCTCAATTTTTATAAATCAAGCCACTGGTTTAATGTTGACCTCTGGATTTTTATAATCTAATATCCAAACAATAGACTAAACTATATAATTTAAAGCATTTATTTTTATAAATGAATTTTTTTGGCAAAGAAGAAAAAGAAGTTAAAAAGTATGACTTATGTTTGAAACCAATGTTTATCCTTAGGACTAGTTTGCTTTATCAGCTGCAGACAAATCCTATGAACACAGGACAATTCTCTGGGTTCCCTGGAGCAGAGTCACCATGGGAGACAGAAAGGAACAACAGAACACAAGTTACTTGACTGTGTCAGTCATGGGTGTCGCTGAAAATGAACACTGAATGACCATCACTAAGTTATTATGGTTATATTTTGGAAAAGGAATGTTCTGGCATATCACTTCTTGATAGCAAGTGCAACTATTTCACTGTTGGAGGAATGATCAGTTTATTAATGTGCTGAATTTGCTGATGGGCTCAAGGCAAATATGAAAAATGTCCCTTGACATGGAGAGAATCAGCATAGTATGCTGAACAACAGAAAACTGTACTACTGATTCTTTTTCCATGGCTGTTATAGTATTAATTCATTAACTTGAAAGGGGTGTCTATTAACTTATTTATTTGGTTCACCTTCTTTCTTAATGCTGATGAGTTCAATTTGACAGGTCATGTAGGTCTGGGAATTTCAAAACAGGGGACTTATAGAATCCAAGCTAAATTTTTGGAAAATCCACCTGAAATGAATATTTTGGAGCACAGAGATTGAAAATGTTTTAAAATGAGATAACAGAATGAGGACCCCTGTGCATCATTCTGGACAAAGACCACAAGGGACAAGGACCAAATCTTGGCTAATATTGGCAAAGGAAGATAATTGGTTAAGTCATGATTTAAAAAAAATTACATATCTAATTCATTAATTGCTTAAGTAGAACTTTTCTCTGGTTAAGCTTTCAGTAAATGAAAGGATATCTGTATTTCATCAGCATATTTTCACTTTATTTTTGTTAACATTTCACATTTCACAAAGAGAAACAAGCTCAGCAGATACCCAGCAGATACGTTCATTACAGTACCTCCACCTAAGCAAAAGGGTTAACAGAAACACTTTAGAATTTGGCTGACTGGTTTTTCCATCTGTAGGTAGGTATTTAGTCTATGACAGGTCATGCTGACTTATGTGCACATATAATTTCACTGTCTTTATATTGGTAAATCTCAGATGTCACAGACTGGAGAACTGGTGATTTAAATCTATTTATAATTCAGTTTTTAAAAAATCACACACAAACACACAGATTTAAATTGATAAAGCCTTGGTAAAGACTCAGAGAGCTTTCTCTGATGTGGAGGGAGCTTGTGGGTCAAGAAAGGAATGAGGTGGTGCTAGGAGGGTCTTTGAACTTTACTGGGGTCTGCACACTTCTTGTGAAGAACCAGACAGTAAGTGCTTTAAGCTTTACTGGTCACATATAACATGTAGTCTCTGTTACACATCCTTCCTTTTTCATTCATCCTCCTCTCTTTTCATCATTGTCATGGTCATCTTCCAATTATTTTTTTTTACTGTAATACTCATCTTTATCTCTAGGACCGTAAAATAACAGGTCACAGCTGGGATTTGGCCTGCAGGCCACGGTTGCCCCCCTTAATGGTATCACATCATGCCAAACTGAAGGAAAGCATTTAATTCCTATTTATACCCAACAGGTTGTAAGATGGAACCACTTGACTGTTAGTGTTTACTATTGGTTCTCTTTGATTGCTTTGCTAGTCATAAGCTAACACTGGGATTTATAACACTAGTTGAAATGAGAAAAGGCTGAACGAAGGCTATTTCCCCTCTAAAGTGCTTATTAAGTACAACCTGAAGTCAGACTTGGGTTTAATGCCACTTAGGCAATGAGCTTCCACCAAATCTCTTCTTGCCGCTGTCTGAATGTGGTCTGCTGGACCTCAATCTTGGAAATGCTTGTTCACAGTCAAATCAGTCACTGAGGGCAGGGCATTGCCCTCTACAATTAGTATAGCTACACTAAATAATCAAATGTAACCAGGAAATGGCTCAAAGCAGAATTGAGTTGGCAAAAAACACTTTCTAATTTATACCAGGTCTGCATGAGGGCAGTAAGCAAAAGTTTTGGCCAAGCGCCAAAAACCATTCACTTACAACAATACATGAAACACTTGTATTAACAAATAAAAGGTAACAGCTAACTTGTCCTAACAAGTAATGTTATGACTCAAAGTGGAGCTGCAATGTTAATGAAATGATGGTGGCTTGACAGAGAGGAGAGGATTCAGCTAATTAAAAGAATTACTACCTACTAATTTAGATCGACAGCTTGCAGAACATGGATCCTGTATAATTCCATTTTTAAAATAAATTGTTGGTTCCTTTTAAGCATTAAACAGCAATAGAAAGCACTGGGGAAGAACAGGATCAAGCACAGTAAGGTGAGACGAGGTTCTATTAAAATCTTCTCCATTAGAAATCCCTTTAAAGGAACAATAAAAGCAAAGTCAACTGCATAAATCAAGTTTGGGGAACCAGTGGGCCTAAATAGGGGGAGGGTAATGTACTCCTTGTAGTGACCCAAACATCACAAAACCTCTCAGGAACTATTCTTAAGAAAGCCTATTTTATTAGTGCATGAATGTGAAAGTAGGAGGCTGCATCAGGTAAAATTTAATAAATGGCATAAAGCAATCCTGGGAGAAGCACTGGCTTCTGGGTAAAGACAGTGGTTTGTACTATCATTTTGCTCCTTCCCCAGATGCGTTTCAAAAAAGGAACAAACTCACACAGCCTAATATTATGTAGAACAGGAAGGAGATAAGAGAGACTGAATTCTGGAAGCTGGAAAGCAGATGGATGAGTGTTGAAGGACTTAGCAGAAGCCCTAGAAAAGTCTCCTAAGCCAACGGTTGGAGAGGTGAGACAGGATCCAATTTACACTTGCAGAAGCCTCCAAAAGTTCAGGAAGTGAGGACTGATTGCAAGTCTCCCTGGGATGCAGTTTGGTGCCCAATCCCCTCCCCAGCTCCTCACTTGGCAACTGTCTCACTCTCCCTGGGATTGGAGGTCGCTGGACTAAAGGCTGCAGATCCAGTGAACGGTGGGTCACCATGTTGAGATGAGGGAATTAAGGGAATATATGCGTGCTGAATACTGAGAACCACCCCCTCCCCAGCCTCAGAAAGCTGCCAGGTCTATTTCCTTCCAGCAAAGACACTGGGGAGTCTCTTCCGGGCTTCAGAGATTCTCTAACCCAATGGCCCTGTCAGGTCATCATATAGTGACACTGTCACAAGCTCTAACTAGGTTCTCAAAATCTTTTTAGGCTTCCAACTTTAAACATAAGCAGATAACCAAGTATTATCAGATATATGAGAAAAACTGCATATATGAAAGCAAAATCAAAACAAATCAGAAAAAGGCAACTTGCAGGATATAGAATAAGCAAAGGGAAGAAAATAAAAAACCAAAGCGAAGAGCAGTGCCTGAGGCTCAATGAGCAGGGCACTGGCCCCATATACTGAGGGTGGCGGGTTCAAACTTGGCCCCAGCCAAACTGCAACAGAAAAATAGCTGGGTGTTGTGGGAGGCGCCTGTAGTCCCAGTAACTCAGGAGGCTGAGGCAAGAGAATCATCTAAGCCCAAGAGCTGGACGTTGCTGTGAGCTGTGATGCCACAGCACTCTACGGAGGGCAACAAAGTAAGAATCTGTCTCAAAAACAAACAAACAAACAAACAAAAACCAAACAAAAACAAACAAAAAAGCCACCACAGATACCACCTTTAATATCCTTGGAACTATTAAGAAAGATACCAAAGAAACAAGAACAGGATGAGATAGATATAGATATAGATATATATATAAAAGACAATGTGAAACAAGATATTCTAGAAATTAAAAAATAAAACAAGACAAAACAGAGAAAGCTGCTTAGATGGTGTGTCTAGAGTTGACCAGGGAAGGTAGGCAGCATGTGGGGAGGCTCCTGGATGATTTTTAGCATAGCAGAGGAAGAGACAGGCTGTGCAGTGCCTGGAAGGAACATGCCCAGGGGGCAGCTATAAAGAATGGAGGAAGCTGTAGAGGATGTTGGAGGGCCAAGGAGGGAAGCTTGAGAGGCAAGAGAGCTGGAGCCACAGGCCTACGAGGAGCCTCTGATCTAAGAGGTGTTAGGAGAGATGAGGATGGGTATAATTTTTATGCCTGGGACCACTATTTT